AAAGAAGCTCGATAAAACTCCTTATGAGCTGTGGAACGGTAGGAAACCTTCCTACCAGTACCTGAAAGTGTGGGGGTGTCTTGCCAAAGTTTTGATGCCAACACCTAAGAAAGTAAAGATAGGTCCTAAGACGGTGGACTATATCTTTATTGGCTATGCACATAATAGTAGTGCTTATCGGTTCTTAGTACACGAGTCCAATAATCCGGATGTACACGAGAACACGATAATAGAATCAAGGAATGCATATTTTTTCGAAAATATATTTCCTTGTAGGTCCAACGAGGGACCAAGTACGTCAAAACGAACGTTTGACGAAACTATGGATAATGATAGTGGGGAATCCGAGAGAGAACCCGAGCTCGAGCCGAGACGCAGTAAGCGGGCGAGAGTTGGAAAATCATTCGGTCCTGATTTTCTAACTTACTTGTTAGAGTACGATTCGGGTACTCTAACTTGTTTATTAGAAAATGAACCCGATTTTCTATCTTGTTTGATAGAGAACGAGCCTCGAACGTATGTAGAAGCCGTGACTTCTACGGAAGGACCAATGTGGAAAGAGGCTATAAAAAGTGAAGTGGATTCTATTCTACAGAATCACACTTGGGAACTGGTTGATCTTCCTCCGGGTAGTAAACCCTTAGGATCCAAGTGGGTCTTTAAAAGGAAGATGAAACCGGACGGTTCCATCGAGAAGTATAAGGCTAGGCTTGTAATCAAGGGTTACAAGCAACGCGAGGGCCTCGATTACTTCGACATGTATTCTCCCGTGACGAGAATAAACTCCATTAGGATGATACTTGCCATAGCCGCGTTGCGGAACTTGGAAGTTCATCAAATGGATGTGAAGACCGCTTTCCTAAATGGCGAATTAGATGAGGAAATCTATATGGAACAACCCGAAGGGTTCGTGGTTCCGGGCCAAGAGAGGAAAGTGTGTAAGTTGGTTAAATCGCTTTATGGTTTAAAACAAGCACCTAAGCAGTGGCACGAGAAGTTTGACCATGCGATGTTAACTAACAGGTTTAAAATAAACGAAAGTGACAAATGCGTCTACGTTAAGGAAACGATAGACGGCTACGTCATCCTTTGTTTATATGTCGATGATATTCTCATCGTTGGTAGTAATGATCAGATGATCAAGTCTACCAAAAACATGTTAAATACGAGATTTTACATGAAGGATATGGGTTTGGCCGATTTAATCCTCGGGATTAGAATCATTAGAAGACCTGATGGTCTCGTGTTGAGCCAATCACATTATATTGACAAAATCCTTGAGAAATTTAACAAGGATGATAGTCAAGTGGCTAGGACACCATTTGATACAAACATTCATCTAACCAAGAACCACGGAGAAGGTATTTCACAAGTGGAATATGCTCAGGTTATTGGTAGTTTGATGTATCTTATGAGCTGTACTAGGCCGGATATTGCCTATGCGGTTAGTAAGCTCAGTAGATATACGAGTAACCCCGGTGCTATGCACTGGAAGGCAATAGTAAAGGTTATGAGATACTTGAGGTATACTCGTGATCTTGGACTGCACTACGGGATATATCCCGCTGTACTTGAAGGGTATAGCGACGCGAATTGGATATCTGATATTAAGGACTCTAAGTCCACGAGTGGCTACGTGTTTACACTAGCCGGTGCAGCCGTTGCATGGAAATCCTCTAAGCAAACTGTGATAGCTAGATCCACGATGGAATCTGAGCTGATAGCCTTGGACAAAGGTTGTGAAGAGGCTGAATGGCTACGCCATTTTATAGAGGATATTCCTAATTGGGAAAGACCGGTACCTCCAATATGTGTGCATTGCGATAGTCAAGCCACAATTGGGAGAGTACAGAGTCATATGTATAATGGTAAGTCTAGACATGTGCGTCGTAGACATAATACCATTAGACAATTGCTCACAACTGGTGTTGTCTCGATTGACTACGTAAAGTCAAAAGACAATATAGCGGATCCGCTGACCAAAGGGTTAGGAAGAGAAGTTGTGGAGAAGTTGACACGAGGAATGGGTCTACTGCCCTTGGACTAAAAAGTTCTATAGTGGATACCCAACCTAGCTGGCACCTAGGTTCAATGGGACAACTAAATTATGGAACGGAGCGCGTCACTGTGGGGGTCTCGGACTCCCTACCACTCCTCGTTAAAACAGTGACTCCCGCAAGAGGCTAGCATATTAATGCTTTAATGATTCTTGAGTATGCGGGATACTCGAGAAAGAATCACCTATGTTAGAGAGAAGTGAGGGTCGCTTCAAAGGAGAATTGTTGGGCACAATTCTTTAGAAACTCTTGCAGAACCAGGAACGGTGACCCACGACCAAAACGGGCACACTCATGAGAGCAAGAGCATGGTTGGGAGATTCCTGTGTGAGATATGTCATCGTCTACACAAACGGCAGTCGGTTCAAAGACATCGCGTTCTACCGTACAGCCAGTAGAGTAAACATGTCTTCACGAGGGAAGGTTCAAAGGGTATAGTGACTCCCTACCTATCCTATGCAGGGATCGACAGTTTGAACACAGTTATTTCCGATTTCAAAATACCCCGAAAATCAATTTTTCATTCATGTGGGGGATTGTTGGAAAAAATAGCTTAAAATGGCATAAAATGACATGTTAAGTGGCTATTTTGTGGTACAATTATCAGTGGGGTCCACTTCCGATTCGGGTCGGGTTAAAGTGGATTCGGATTCTTCGTAGTGAGACGAAGAGATCGATATATTGTACGCTCAAAACGGATAATGGGTGAATGAGATATTGATTCTCAAAGTAGACCCATTTGAGTTGGAAAATGAAGGGAAAAAGTGAGCTTTTGTCCCACATTGCTTTGGAATGAAGATTTTCCCCCCTTATATACAAGAGCTCTTTTGAAGCTTGTAGAATTGTATAGCATAGAGGCTCTCTCGCGCGGGGGGGGGGGGGGGGGTGCAAATCAAATTCCAACTAGCAGAGATTGAAAAGGCTTGATTCAAGCCCGAGCTCGTGTGCGCCGGCACCTGCGGGCACGAATGTCGTCCGGAAATTGGCTGGCCTTGCGGGCTACGGAATAAATTTTCCAACACAAGCCACTGGGTGTTGCCGAAACCTCCCAGGTTTCGGTGCCATAGTTTCGGCCACTTGGGCCGAGACTTGGGACCCATGGCCGAAACTTCCAGTTTCGGCCTACACGAACTTGTACAGTTTCTGACCGTTGGCTCTTCAATTCTACTGTTACGGAATTAATTTTCTGAGTTAATTCCAATTTTAAATTTTGAATTGAAGGTCATGCTAATGGTGCTGTTACAGGAAGGTGAAGGGGTGCCCTTAAGTGCCTAACTAAAAGCTATTAAATCCTTCACCCCTATAAAAAGAGGAGTTAGGCAGTAGAGTTTTACAAAGAAAATAAAGAACACGAAAGTTCATCTTTTAGCCTCAAAACCTATCTGCTTCTACTCTTTCTTTAAGCCATACTGTGTTCATAGCCATTGTCTTGCTCGTCGGATCCTTTGTTTGAATGCTCAAACATTGGATCATAGCAAGTTTTATCCTGGGAAGCCTAGGCCACAACGCTCCTAGCATCTACGGGAGGTGGCAAATAAGGTTTTAAGGAAAGAGTGCATACTTGACTCTTGCAAAAACCCAACACCAAACACTAGCCAATTTTTCTTCAAATTTTTCTTCCCTTCTTTCCAGAAAATAATAGTCAATTTTTTATTTAATTATTATTTGTTTTCTACCAACGGTTCCTACATATATATATATATATATATATATATATATATATATATATATATATATATATATATATATATATATATATATATATATATATATATATGCATAAAGTGTGCATATTTATTTATATGTATGAATGTATATCAATGCTTAAATATTTAAAAAACTAAATATATAAATATACACATGTATATTTGATTATATAAACATATATTAATTTTATTATTATTATTATTATTATTATTATTATTATTATTATTATTATATAAGGATTAGTTAACAAGGGCAAAGTTGGAATAATTCAAGGTAATCTAAGATTACCTAAAAAAATGGGGGTAATCACATTACCTTGAAACATTACCGCCACATCAGCTTTCAGGTAATATAACATTACCAGGTAATCAAATAACTTGAACCAAACAAGGTAATATAACATTACTAGACTCAGATTACCTAGGTAATCTAAGATGACCTGAACCAAACGCCCGACGTTTGGTTCAGGTTGTATAAGATAACCAAGGTTATATTTGCTTGGTAATATAAGATTTCCATGTTTGGTTCAAGTTATATAACTTTCACAGGGAATGTCAAATAACCTCCGCATTAAGTTTTTAGCTATTGGAAGGGAATGTGAGATACCCTCCAATTTCTTAGGTAATCTCACATTCCCTTGTCTTATTACTAATGTTGGACTTTAGACGTTTTAATCAATTTATTTTATTATCGTTGTCTTACTTACATATCTTAATTTTAAACCAAACTCAGTAATCTAACATTCACTAAGCTAATTTAACATTCCGTGAATCAAACACCCCCTAAATTCTAAAACTTGTTACAAGGGTGTGATGTAAAATGTTACACAAGATTTTTACCCATAATAGTAGTAGTACTAGAACTTTTATTCGTCATTGACTAATGATGGCAATTGCATGGAAAGAGGTAGTCCACGGAGTATACTCATCAAGTCCACTCATTCCCAAGTCTCCGATACAAACATTTTTGGTTGAGTTTGCTAAATCGGGTGATCAAATTCCACGTTACCCGAGTAACTAGGCGGACCCATACACTGCACCAGTACAGCCTCACGGACCAATTACCGCCATCCAACGCCTCTCCGGTGACATAGCGAGCCAGTGACTAAACGCCACGTATGAGATTGTCCTCACCCTCGGGTAACGAGAATCTGCGGGGGTTGGATCTATGAATACTATAAAATAGAGGGGCGAAAGCGAGAGATCCGTGGGGTTTTTTTTGAATCACACTTTTTAAAGAATCAAAACCCTCACCAAATTTCTCTCTCTCTCTCTCTCTCTTTTTCTCTCCCCTTCTAAAAACCCAAACCCTCGCTTGTGGCGGCTGACACACCAACCAGTTCTCGCTCTCTCTCTCTAGGGTTTCGCGGGTGATCTATCTATCTGTCCGGTTATGGCTTCCGTTACTGCTCCCGCTGATCGTATCCTACAGTCTCGCTGTTCTTTAGTTTTCTTGGTTCTGTGTTTCTTATTCATTTCTAGTTGTTTCTGTTTATATTCTTTTGTGTGTACCAAGCTATGCTTGTTTGGATTGGGTAGGGTTTATGTTGGGATCTTTTTGATCTGGGTATGGAAAATCTGTTTGTATTCACTTTGATTTTCCCGTGTGTTTTTTTTCTTCTTCAGATAGTAGAGGTAAGGCTAGAGAAACTTGTGAAGTTTCTGTTTTACTCAATAGTTTTTTGTGTTTTTCTTTCGGGCGGGAAGGGGATTGGTGTTTCGAGGTGACACGGTGTTCTTTTGTTGAATTTTTTTTTTCCGGAGAATTCGGACATTACGAGGACCTAAAACCTTGCTTGAATGACTAGATTATGGCTTGATGCATATATCCCCTTTTATTGTGTTCTATTAGCGTTACATAAATTAGTGAAATTGTTTAAAGCTGTGTTTGGGGCTCTGTGGATTTTTGATATTATGAGGACTGTCTTTTGGAAAGCTATATGGATTCCTTTACTCTTTTTTTTTTTTTCACTATAGAAACTGCAGATTTGCTCCAGAAGTTGTCACTGGAATCAAAGACCAATACTTTGGAAATCCCTGAACCAACCAAGAAGGTGAGATTTTCTGTATTACTTGATATATGTATTGTTTTATTTGGTGGGGGTGAATCTTTTAGTTACTGAATATTGAGTCTGAGTTTAAATTTATCTGTAGGCCTCTGTTGACTCCACTGATGTGACAAATGGTCAGACCCAGTCTGGTGACAGGTCTTTGACACCTTTGTTACCAGATTTTATTGATCCAGCAGTTTGCTATGTTCCTAATGGCTATCCTTACACTGCTTATCACTATGGGGGTATGTTAATTTTTTTATTTTTTTTCAAGTTTCCTATGCTTTAGGTTTCAATAATTCATTTTTTGATTGAAATTTCTGCTCTTTAGCATATGATGGGACAGGCAATGAGTGGGAGAACTATCCAAGATATCTTAATCAAGATGGAGTTGAGATGCCTGTAAGTTAAAATTTACTGTGTTTCTCTTTTTGAGTGGGAGAACTATCCATTTTTGCTATGTTCCTATGTGTTTTAAGCTGAGATATTCAATACGGCATTGCTTAAAACCCCCTGTCTTGCTTTTGTTATAAATAATGCAGGGAGTATATGGGGACAATGGATCCCTTTTGTATCACCATGGGTATGGTTATGCTCCGTATGCCCCTTATTCACCTGCTACTTCTCCTGTTCCAACTGTGGGACAAGATGGCCAGCTATACGGGGCTCAACAGTACCAGTATCCAGCTCCATATTTCCAGCCCATGACTCCAACAAGTGGTGCTTACCCTACTCCGGCTGCCCCAGCCAAAGGTGAGATACAAACCTCTGCAGCTGTTGATGAAGCACCTTTGTCTGTGGATTCTGCTAAAGGAAATCCTAATGACATTGCAAATGGTGGCGTAAAGGGAACAAATGGCTCAGCACCTGTGAGACCTTTATACCAGAATTCGTCCTATAATGGAAATGCAAATGGCTCATTTGGAAGAGGTACATTGCCTGGCGGGTTTGCTTCTGGATATCATGATCCGAGGTTTGCCTATGATGGAATGCGATCTCCTATCCCATGGTTAGATGTAACATCGTTTTCAGATGGGCAGCCTAGACCAGTATCCAGCAGTTCAATTACCTCTGCAAGCAACAACAGTTCATCAAGGAACCCGAGCATTCGTCCTCATCTGATGGTATGACCTATGAATTTAGCTTAGGGATATTATATACATTTGACACTTATTTATAAACTAAGCTTCTTGCCTTGTCTTTCAGGGGTTGCATCATCCTAGGCCTATATCTGGAATGAATGCTACAAATGGATATGTCAATAGAATGTATCCAAACAAATTGTATGGTCAGTATGGAAACACATATAGATCTGGTGTAGGTTATGGTTCTAATGGTTATGATTCACGCACTGCCAGTCGTGGTTGGTTGTCTGTAGATAACAAGTTTAAGCCTAGGGGTGGTAGAGGAAGTAGTTACTATGGGTATGGGAATGAGAACATGGATGGTTTGAACGAGCTGAACCGGGGACCAAGAGGTAAAGGTACCAAAACCCAAAAGGGTTTTACGCCAGTTGCACTGGCAGTTAAAGGGCAGAACATTCCATTGACCAAAACAAATGATGATGAGAAAGAGAAATCAAGCCTGGTCCCCGACAGAGATCAATACAACCGCTCAGATTTTCCCGTGACTTATGATGATGCCAAGTTTTTCATTATCAAGTCTTACAGTGAAGATGATGTCCACAAGTGTGTCAAATACGATGTGTGGGCTAGCACTCCTAATGGTAACAAGAAGCTCAATGAAGCATACCAGGAGGCTCAGCAGAAGTCTGGGGGCTGCCCTGTTTTCCTCTTCTTTTCGGTGAGCATCTTTTATCAAATTGTGGTGTACCCATGGTTTTGATTATAGAGAAATTAATTTATGATGGTTTAATATCTAGGTTAATACCAGTGGGCAATTTGTTGGTGTTGCTGAGATGATCGGTCCAGTTGATTTCAACAAGAAGGTTGAGTATTGGCAACAGGACAAATGGATTGGCTGTTTTCCCGTAAAGTGGCACATTGTGAAGGATGTCCCAAACAGCTTGTTGAAGCACATTACCCTGGAAAACAATGAAAACAAACCAGTGACTAACAGCAGAGACACTCAAGAGGTAGGATTGACTTCTTACATTATTGTTATTCAAAGATGTTTTGTTGAGTTGTGGCGAGAGTGCGAGAGGTCTCTTGTTATTCCATGTCTACAAATGTCTAATTTTATGTGTTTGTACAGGTTAAATTGGAGCAAGGCCTACAAGTCCTCAAGATATTCAAGGACCACGCTAGTAAACAATGTATACTAGATGATTTTGAATTCTACGAGGATCGTCAGAAGAGAATTCAAGAGAAAAAGGCTAAGCATCAGCTTTACCAGAAGCAGGTAGTGTAAATGTTTTGATCCAAAACGGTGAATAATAATACTATAAGAGCTCGGGTTGTTACAGTGTGCTTATACATATATACAGGTGTGGGAAGGGAAGACCACAGATGAGAAGAAGAAAGAAACTACTAATGGAGAACAAAAGCCTCAGACACCAACTGAAGTTGTATCTGAAGTGCTGAACAAGGAAGCAGCAACCCCTTCTGAACAGGTAAATGGGGACGCCAAAGTCGTAGAGAATGGGTCAGTTGCAAAACCCGGGGATGTTATAAAGGGCGATAATCAGGTTGTGTCATCAGACGATAAGGCAATCGCTAATGGGGTTGTAAATGGCTGCTAGCTCCAGCTTGTTCTCTAGGGCAGCCCAAGCATTCGATGTTCGTTTTTCAACGAGGAGCTTTTACCAAAAGGATAAAAGAGTAAATTTTAGACACCTTGGGCTGCCCTGTGTAAACTTGGAGTTGCTGATGCTTAAAGAATCTTTGACGAGGAACAATGGTAAAGCTAGCAACAATGCTGTGATGATTTCATATACTCTAAGGACCAGAAGAGATATGAAACCCCATGCTTTTTTTTTTTTTTTGCCTCCTGATGGGTTAGTTTCTTTAGTGGCCTAGCTTCTAACATTTTCACCATCCATATGGTTTTAGTTTACTACTTTTTGTTTTGTTGGGGAGATCTCATTTCTTTTCCTTTTGTTTTTTGTTTTTTATAGTTTGGTTTTTGAGTTTTCTAAGGTTTGGCAACAATCCTATCTTGTAATTCTAGATTCTAGATGGACTCTGTTCGGGTTTGGAGGGTGGTTACTTGTGTACTTTTGATGAAGGAGATATATACTTAAATTCAGTTAATTTAATTGCAATAGCTTTTACGTATCGATCACTTCAGTCTTGATGTTGAAAGCAAAAACTTCCATTGGCTTTCTTTGTTAATTTGCTGTTAGAGAATTGTATTAGCAATTTTGATTTACATTAGCTGATAAGTTTTTGGTAAATTAGTTTTTTTTTTTTTTTTTTTTTGGTTAATATGTAAAAAATGTTAGGTAAAATTAGTTGTTTGCTATTTGTGATTAATATATGTAAAAGGTAAAAATTTGTCTTTGTGAGACGGGTCAAAGATGAAGATGAAGATGTAATACTTATATTGTAAATATAATGCTAATCACTAATCAGAAATAAAGTGTAATATTTTTTTAAAAAAATTGTAATAGGTTTACATTTTAATTTAAAAGTATTTTCTTTCTCAAAAGATTTTTTTTCTAAATAATAAACATTTTATTCATGATTAGTATTATATTTTACAGTATAAGTATTATATTTTTATTTTGACCCAGAATTCGTGAGAGGACTCTAGTGACTATGTAAAATGTGTTTGATAAAATTAGTTGTTTGTTATTAGTGATAATATGAGTTAATACTCAAAATAGTCTTCGACTATAGTGATTTTTTTCAATTTCGTTCTAAACGACTTTGGTGACATAATGTAGTCCCAGACTTTTGTGTTTTCCCTCAATTTAATCTTCCGTTTGTTATTTCGTCAAATTGATGTTAAATAAAGGGTATTATCTCGTGATAATATGTAAAAAGACTAATAATAATAACAACAATAACAACAACAATAATAATAATAATAATAATAGAAACAATAATATTAATACTATATTTATTCTATATCAATTTAAATTTACTAACAAAAAATAAAGAAAGAGATAACAATAATTTCAATTTTAGGGTGTTTGAAAATCCGAAAAATGATTTATGAAAATCATTTTCCAGGTTTTCAGTGTTTGGTAAAAACTAAAGAGTGAATAATGTGAGTTAAATGAAAATGAGTCTTTGGTAAAAGGAAAATACCCTCATTTCATGAAAAGGAGAAATCATTTTTCAATTTTCACACCAACACGGCAACACCACACCACCACTAATTATTATTATTATTACAGAGTAAATTATTTTAACAAATAACAACAACCACCACCACCAATACCAACATCAACACCACCCCACCACCATCATTTATTATTATTATTATTATTATTATTATTATTATAGTCCAAACAAAACATTTAAAATATTTAATTATACAATTTAATACAACTAAGACAATTTTCTAAAATGCAACCAAACACTGAATATAAAAATGTTATCTGGACAATTATTTTTCAAAAGTCGTTTCTCTCATTTTCAAACAGACCATTATTAAAATATTGTGACTACTTCTAAATTTATTTTACTACATATTTTATTTTGTTTGTAACAATTAATCTTCTAGTTACTGAACATCAATCAAGAGAGTAAATATTTTTTTTTTTTGAGTGTCAAGAGAGTAAATATGTAAAAGTGTAATCATTCAATTTTTTGTCCTAAGCCGTAATCATTAACGACCTAGCACTATGTAGTAATCCCAAACGAACAAGAACAAAAGCACCTCAAAATTCTTAACAAACGAATATGAACAACCTCCGTTCGTTTATGTTGAGTTCGTTAAACACCATAGGATTATAAACAAAGCCCGCAATAACTAAAACACACAACCCAAAAACACAAGTATCACAATAACTACCAGAAAATATTAACCAACACAAGCACATTACCTCGGAAAACAACACAAATAAATTAGAATGATAAAGATGGTATTCACGGGGGTCCCCTTTATCTGCCGCCGTGTAGGAGGAGACCAAGTTGTCCAAGAACTTGCGACCGTCCCGGGAACGTATTTGCACGTATCCCGGAGCAACCGCACCGACCGCGGTAAGGCGGAAAAGCTGGTGGAAGAGAGGAAGAGAGGAAGAGTTGCTTCCACGCCGAGGCGGTGGCAGTATGTGAGGAAGGCGGTCAGCTTGCAGTAAGAATTTGGCGCCAATTGACCGGGCAACACACTGTAGTAGTGGAGCAGAAGAGAAAGGAAGGGAGAAAGGGGAACCCGAAAGCCACACCGGACTGACTGGTAATGGATCCCCACGTATCCCACACTAGGAGGTTCCGTCACCAGTCGGTCGCCTGCCCGACGGCATACGGCAGGCGTGCCCAACAATCGCCGGGCGTGAAGAAAATCACCTCGCAAAGCGAGGAGCGGCGGCTTACCGGCCAGTCAAGGGCATCCAAAAAACCCGACTCTCAGTCCTCCAGGGGGTCGACAGGGGCCGCCGCCGGAACCATGGCTGGCAGGCTCGCGGCCTGACCCTGATGGTCGTCCGCAGCGGAGGAAGATGAAGGTGAAGATGAGGATGATATAAAGGAACGAGGGGAGAAGGAAGAAAGACGCGAAAATAAGTGATATATCGAAGGAGAAACTGACATGAGAAGGGAACGACGGCTGGAGATGAGCAGAGTTGTCTCGAAGGGAAAGAGTGTCGGCCGCCGGAAAAAGAAGAAAGGCTAAAGTTTGGGGGAAGGTAGAGTGCCGGAAGTGCGGAAGTTCGAAAAATGTAAAGAGGGAAAAGAGAAGAAAGGCCGAGGTATTTATAGGCTTGGACAATCGGCGAGATCGTGACACGTGTCCTCGATCTAATGGAGGGGAAGAGTGACGTAACGTCTGACAGGACGGTTATGAGAAGACGCGTCTTGGAACCCTAACTGGCGGAACTCGAGGGATCTTCATAATTACACTCTAGCGACCGTACCTCTTCGCAGAACCAGTCGGTAAGGCGCGGGATTAGTCAGAAAGGCGATAAGATACTGACCGGGTTCCCGGTTAGCAGGGCCAGTGTTAAGAAGTAAGCCGGCTGGGATGTTTGTGTTTCCTTGTATTTTTGTTCTACTTTTTCAGGCCATCGCTCGGCTAAACCTAAAAAAGTGAGGGACTTGTGATAGATACCCCCGAAACGGACACCCGGCCGAGAAGATGAGGCCAGGCGGTCAACTGTGAATGTGATACGACACTTTGCAAAAGGGGAACACCTGCTATTCCAGGAAGAGTACTAGGAGATCGTAGTCAGCCGGCTCCCAACAACCGACCACCAGGAAGTACGACTGCCAGCCCAAGTGAAGGTCAAGCAGCTTGAGCAAAGGGGGCAGATGCAACAGTTGGTGTGTCCCCGGTCGAACGCCCTACAGAATTCGGGCGGGCGACCAGGCTTCGCAGGCAGCGCGTCCCAGGCTAGCTTCCATAGCTGATTCGGCCCTACGCGTCAGCCCTACTTTCCTTGTAGATTTTGGCTCTACGTCAACCCTACTTTCCTTGTACGGGTTTGCATTCTTGTATAAATATCCCCCTGGGATAACCGTTTAAAGGGATAGATCGTTTTTGGCTTCTTTTGGCAGACACTTAAGTGATCAAAGCCCTAGAGAAATAATATCGCATTATTCTCTCCATTGCCCTACTCCTTTTCATCATAAAATCTCATTTATAGTATTTTACGGTAGTATTGACCCGCCGACTGGCATCCAAAACCGTAAAACCAACAACATCGGTTCGTCGAAGAACCTACGTCGTAACGTTAATTTTATATATATATATATATATATATATATATATATATATATATATATATATATATATATATATATATATATATATATATATATATATATATAAAACTAGATATACACTATGACGTCGGTTATAAAACTAACTGACGTCGTATATTTTGTTAACTTTTTTATTTAAAATGAATTATAACGTCGGTTATAAAACTACTCGATGTCGTATATTTTGTTAACTTTTTTATTTAAAATGAATTATAACGTCGGTTGATATAATTGTGAAGTTTGGATTCTTATCATGTCGGTTGAAAATTATAAATTTATTGAATATTTTGACGTCGATTTTGTAAAAAATCAACGTTATATATTCGACGTTGTAGGTGATTTCTGTAGTAGTGAAGATTCTCATTTAACATTAAACAATTTCGTTTATTGTGCCAAATAGAGATTTGACAACTTTGTTTCCTAAAATTTTCCTTTTCAATTGTGTCATATTGTCCTTATTTTCGCAACACGATCCTGTTAAAATCATATTTTTATTTTACAAATAAAATATTGAAACTAAACAAGATTATAATTAAAGAAGAAATATTAAAAAATACTAAAATACTCATGTACTAAGTATAATTTTGATAGAGTTTAATTGTTTTGTTGTTCTAGGAGTTCAAAGTGTAACTGTTTTGAAGAGTTAGGGTGTATATTGCAACAACAAAAAATTAGGGACCAAAACCGCTAGTAAACAAAAGTTAAGGGGCTAAAATTGTATTTTTCCCTTAATTAAAATAATTGGACATAATTGTTATAGGATACGGATATTTGATACCAAGTATTAAATTATCAAAACTTAATTTTTTTGATATAATTGTGAAGTTTGGATTCTTTTCACAATAAGTCTTTAGAAAAAAAGAAAAAAAAAGACTAACCAACTACCCCGCTAATTTTAAAATCATGGTTGTTTAGACTTTAATTGGCGTTGACTAGAATTGCTTTCTAAATTGTATCACTGCACATACATCTTTCATTTCTTACTACTGTTCTGATCATCATATCACATAGGCAGAGCAAATGGCTTATGCTGCTGTAACTTCGCTTATGGGAACTCTTTCTCAGCATTTCTTGCAACCACAACCACGCTTGCCTCTTCAATACAAACAACAAATACTTTCTCTCCATGAAAATCTTGGTTTTCTCCAAGAAATTCTTGAGAAATCTGAGATCCCCACCTATAATAATTCGGTGATGAAAGGTTTAGAGGCAGAGATGAGAGATGTAGCGTTCAAAGCTGAAGAAAGGATTGAGATGGAGTTGAGTACCATTTATCTAGCAAAGGGTTGGACGAAGCGTCTTCGTATAAAGGCTTGCCTCCTCAAGCTTCATGGAATCTTCATTCAAGCTGTAATACAGACTGATTACCTCAAAAAGAAGTTTATTAAAACTGAAAAGAAGCTTGCAAAGGGTCCATCACAAGCTGGTCAGAGGATGCGACAAAGAGGACTACTCCTTGGTTCAACATCATCACAGCCTGATCCAGAACGAGAGAACATTACTGTGAGTAAATTTTCCAAAAACGCTTCAATAAAGTTTGACAGTGGAATGGTCGGATGCGACGAAGAGTTCAAGACGATAATGGATCAGCTCACCCGACAATATGCACAACGGCTACAAGTTGTATCAGTTGTAGGCATGGGAGGAATTGGCAAGACCACTTTAACTCGAAAAGTCTATGAAGATCCATCAATTATTTCTCATTTTGACAAACGAGCATGGGTTACCATATCTCAAGAGTATAATGTGGAACAAATGCTCCAATGCCTTATTGGTTGTGTTAATGCAGCATCAAATGATGTACTCCATGAACAAAGAAATGACAGCTTAGCAGAAAGTCTGAGGAAAAGCTTGAAGGATCAGAGATATTTGATAGTGATAGATGACATATGGAGCAAAGAAGCTTGGGATAGGGTGCAAAGATGCTTTCCAGATGATAATATTGGAAGCCGTATACTATTGACTTCTCGGCTCAGAGAGGTGGCTGAATATGCAGGTTCAGGTAACTCTACCATTAACATGCCTTTCTTAAATGCCGATAAAAGTTGGAATCTCTTCTGCAACATGTTTGGTCAAACCGAATTTATTTCAGAGTTTGAGCAAATTGGTAGAGACATAGTGAAGAAATGTAATGGATTACCTCTAGCTATTAATGTAATAGCTAGTCTTCTCTCTAAGACAGAGGCTGCAGTGCAGAAGTGGAATAATGTTGCAGAAAATGTGAGTAGATATGTAATTGGTGATTCTAGTGATGCATGTTCCAGAATACTTTATTTGAGTTACAACCAATTACCACACCACCTAAAAGCTTGTTTTCTATATTTTGGAGTTTTTCCGGAAGACTACGAGATCCATGTGAAGAAGTTGGTTAGGTTGTGGGCGGGAGAGGGATTTTTTAGGTCAGTGGACCATCAAAATATGGAGGAAGTGGCCATGGAATGCTTGCAAGATCTTGTTGATAGAAGTCTTGTTTTTGTTAGCAAACAAAGCTATAATGGGAAAATGAAGACAGTAAGAATACATGACTTGTTGCGGGATTTGTGTTTGAGAGAAGCTCAAAATGAAAATCTCTTTGATATCATTAGAGATGGAAAACATCTATTTTTCGAGAAGAAAATATCTAGTCGTTGGATAAGAGTAGAATCAGAGGCTGATTATCGACTTTCTTCGTCAAAGTGCTTTCACACATCACATTCCTTTCACTCTCCCTACCCTTGTGATCCTGTACGTCTGCATCCTCTAATTTCGGACTTCAAACTACTAAGAGTGATAGACATAGTATGTACGTCTCCCTGTGAATATGGAATACTACGTGTGGTTCCAAATCTTATTCATTTGAGATACTTTGCTTTGAAGCATTCAACATGTGTTAGGTCCAAATATTTTGATTTAGAGCTCTTTGACCATTGGAATATACAGAACTTTATTGTTCGTGGGGCTCGTGCATCCCATTCCTTTGGGGCATCTAGAATTTGGAAAATGCCACTATTAAGGAATTTATGCATTGAATGGATTGTTTCATTAGGAACTTTGTCAGTTGTTCATAGAAACTTAGAGAGTATATCTTGGTTGGATGCTAAGCTCTGTACACAGTATTTGTTTACAAGGATTCCAAATTTAAAAAAATTGGGAATTGATGGTAGATACCATAAAAACGATCTAAATTATTTTTATAATTTTGTGCACTTGGGGAAGCTTGAGAAGCTAAGCATCAGAAATTGGTATAAACTCAACCATATTCCATGGGCAATTAGTTTTCTACCAAATCTTAAGAAGCTCAAATTCTTTTGCACTTGGTTGCCATGGAGTGATATGAGGTTTATTGGTATGTTGCCGAATCTAGAAATTCTAAAATTGATAAATGCTTGCCAAGACGGAAAGTGGGAGACATCTGAGGGAGGGTTCCGTCAATTGAAAAGGTTGGTAATTAAAGGCAAGAATTTGAAAGATTGGAATGTTGTGGGTGACAATTTCCCTGTGCTTGAACATTTAGAGTTAACTGATTGCAATTGGTTGCGAGAGATCCCTATTGCGTTTGCTGATATTACCACACTTGAATTGATTCAAATAAATGGATGCTTGGATTCCGTTTTGGCTTCTGCAAAGTGTATTCAAGATGAGCAGCGAAGCTATGGAAATGATACCCTCCTTGTTCGTTCTTTAAATATATTAAGGTCTCTTTCTATCCCTGCCTCTATTATATTTCTCTAACCGTTTCATATTTCATGCTATTTAAATTCTTTGCAATTCCTCTGCACTTCATGCTTTCTCATTTTTCTGTATCTCATATTTCCTTATCTATATAAATGCGTGTTCACCCGCTTTTTTTAATAACTTAATTTATTGTTTCCAGCATTGATAAAAGTAAACATCTCAGAGGAAGGTAGAAATGATAAGGGCAGCCTGGGCAGGTATGTTGCATTTGCAAACAGCTGTTTATTTTGTTTTGTCCTTTTTTGTTTCCCTTAAAGAAAAATCATGCTTATTAGCTTGCTTTCATTTTTTATTTGGCGGTTTCAGTTTTTTTTTTTTAAGTTTCATCCTTTTTTTTTTTTTTTGTAAAATAATTATCTAATTATTATTGAAATTTAACTTTCATTCATAATTATTGGTCCTAGTTTTTTTTTTTTTTTTGAAGTCCTAGTTTAGTTTTATAATCATCAAGCAAACTATTAAATACCTCTCTATTACATTTTATCTGTCATATTTATTATTATATTAATTGATAAAATAACTTTTTTTCTCTACTTATTTTCTTTAGTATTTTTAATTATGTTTAAATTTGCCATGCCTTTATTGTTTTCTGCCTTCAGGTGATGGGATGGGGAGTAAGACAAATATATTCATTGTTTTGGATCGGAACTCGTTACGGGTGGAGAGCTGCTCAACAAAATTTTATGCCATTCTTCCCTCTGTGTGTGGTTCTTGCAGTTCAAAAAGTGAAAACGAAGCACAGTTTGCTCATTTCTCATTGTTTATTATTATTAATTTCATCATCTCATCATATAAAAATTTTGGTGTTGGACAAAATTATTTAGTAGCTGATTTGTGAACTTCAAAATTCAGTGATTTTCCTTTCTCTCTTGAAAATCATTTTCTTGAAATTTATGCCAACACTTTTGAAAAAGTTCAAAGTGCTCTTATTGTATCTTAACTCGCTGAGAGTAATTTAGTTTGACTGTTCGGCTATACTACTGTAGTCCATTTTATCCGGAAGACTGACACTACTGGGTGCCAATGCTACTCTTCTGGACATTGGACTCTCAATTAAGTTGTAGTATCATTCTCATGGCAACTTAATTAACCTCATTGTGTTCATGTCTCTTTCCAACTCCCGTTTATCAAAACAAAGTTGGACTAGTGAGAGGTGTGACTATGGTGTTGCTCTATTCTCATAATGACAACACCTTATCCATGTAAGAGTCAACACAAATCACCAAGCTCACAACTAGAGCAATCATCAAGTTATTACACTTATAGCACAATTCAATCACATAGCAAAAAGAAGACTTAATCCAACACTTAAATGAATTTTTTTATTACAAAAGAAGGGGATACCCATACAATCTACGCCTACACTGACAGGGACGGAGGGAGAGGGGGGCAGGGGGCGGCTGCCCCCCTCATCCCACCCCCACCCCATATATAGTATTTGTATGTATATATATGTATATATATATATAGTACACGTTTTAGTATTAGTATAAAAAAACTATAAAATGTCAATAAGAAGTGAGTTAGAGTAGGTGGTAGAGCACATTTTTGGTAATAATGAGGTTAAGGGTTCCAATCTTAGCATCAACGTAGTTTTACAATTCTTTTTTAATAGCTTTTTTAATGTGTTTTCTATTCAAATTATTTTATTAATTATGTTTCATATTTTGTTATGAATATTTTTATAAAGTTTCAATGTGTTTTATTTTTAGTCCATATCAAACACTATTTACAATTATATTTCTTAGGCAATTTATTTATTTATTTTTAAATTATCTCTTTTGTTTTAATGTTTCGCCTTAATAAATCAGGAATGACAATAATAATTGATAAATCAAGAGTGACAATAATAATTGATATATTATGAAGACACATAAATTACAATTTTCCCGAAAATATATGACTAAAATATATGTCCTATAGTCACATATATTTCTTAATATACATGATATAAATTCATAAAATAAGACACAATATGTTGTGTGTTATACAATTACTAATCTATTTCAGGTACATAATCCATACTGCTAAAGTACAGAATTGCAACCCTGTTACGTGAATTGAACAATATTTTGAGCATAAATCATTAGTATATTATGAATATAAATCATTACAACTACAAATCAATTTTTTTTATATTTTTGGAGCTGACTGGAGGGCACATTTTTCACAAAAACCTTTTTTTCTTTTTAGTGTTTTGACTCTATTAAATAACTGAAGCAGCCAAATAAATTGATTTTTAATGAAAATTCGATCAACGAAACAACACCTAGGTTTGGTACGTAAAATATGTATTCCGTTACAGTTGCAAATCGGCGGCAATACATTCGAATTTGATGGTCGTTTTAATTTCTTTAAGTTAAAAAGCCCCAAACCGGATTTGTTTTGCGTCATATCAGACTAACACATGCCAATTGTTTACCGATTTTCATATCAATCAACTTAGTTAAGATTATAATCTCTTTCGATTTATTCTTTTTCGGCAGGAAGGCCTAATTTGATCCCGTTAAAGCCACTCAACATCAAATCCCACATTATTTGCCTAACCAATCAGCAAAAAAAATTTGTACACGAAGAACGTGGCAACATTTCAGTAACCAACCTACATTCCAACAACATTTGCTGCCACTACATTTACTAATATATTAATAAAACACTAAAAGGAAAAAAAAAGGATTTTGTGAAAAATGTGTCCTCAGCACAAAAAAATAAAAAAATAAAAAAAATAAACGGTGACTCAGTCTTAGGCTCTCCTTATGTATTGTTTAACCAAAAAATTGTCAAAAAACTGTTTGAAACTGTAACGAGGAGTCAGAAGTAGCTGGTTGTTGTTCTCACGATTAAAATCAATGGGAATCCGTCTGTTTCTTTCATCATACTCCCCCAACACGATTCAAATTTTCCACAAATTATAAACCAAAATATCCGGAAAACACTTCCATATATTTACCACGGAAACAATTGTCAAATTTGGTGTCTATACCATTTAAAACAAGTATCTATTTAAAATGTTAAGGAGCTGCTAACACATCACACAACGGATATTGCAAAATCAAAAATTTAAAACAAGAAAAAAGGGAGGCCTCAGAGATCTTGGTGGAAATGTATCATCAGATGGGTATTCCCATCAAGAGTAGCAAATATTTGATAGCATCACCGGCCAAATTTCATTTTATTTTCAAATCACCTAAGAACAACCCTAAAAAATTAAAATAATAAAAAAAATAACCACAAAAAATTCAAAAAACTGTATAAACTGTAACGAGGAGTCAGAAGTAGCTGGTTGTTGTTCTCACGATTAAAATCAATGGGAATCCGTCTGTTTCTTTCATCATACTCCCCGCATCACGATTCAAATTCTCCACAAATTATAAACCAAAAAAATCCAGAAAAATAAAAGATGCAGAAACGAATCGGTGTATCTACCTTGTCACCGAAAAACCCTAGTGAAAGAGAGGGAAGATTCGGAGCTAAAGGTAGAAACATATATACAGGAATGAACATATATATGTTTTTGAGTTTGGTATCGCCTAAGGATAGATCCCTTGATCCATCGCTTCAGATTTGGATTCCGATCAAGGAATTGCAATGTTAGGCTTTTCTAACTTCAGAACAAACACAAACACATTCTGAGAAAAGCGCAGAAAGACGAAGAAGATAAGAAGCAAATTGGGGAATGAAAGTAGAATGAGATTTGGGGGGATCGCGTATGTGTTTATATATTGGGATAATGGGAGGGTTACATAAACCCTAGAGGCGTAGATTGCCATCTCAACTCTCAATCTTGCGCCGATAAAATATGGGCCTATCCCCAGACCCATTACAGTAACCACATATTCCGTACTAATACAATAGTTATGCTGTGCAACCGAATGTACTATGCGCATGGTACATACGGTTCAAAACGACGTCGTTTTGATTAAAAACGCGCGTCCCACTTAAAAAAAAAAAAAATCAGGTTCGACTCTCAGCAATAACATTATTGTGGATATATAATTATGAAATTGTGGATATATAGTTATGAAATTGTGGTTATATAGTTATGATTTTATGGATATTTAGTTCATTCATTGTGGATATTTAGTCCAATCATATATTGTGGATATTTAGTTCATTCATTGTGGATTTTGACTTCATTCATTCATTCATTGTGGATTTTTACTTCATTAATTCACTGTGGATATATAGTTATGAAATTGTGGATATATAGTTATGAAATTGTGGTTATATAGTTATGAATTTATAGATATTTAGTTCATTCATTGTGGATATTTAGTTCAATCATATATTGTGGATATTTAGTTCATTCATTGTGGATTTTTTACTTCATTCATTCATTCATTGTGGATTTTTACTTCATTCATTCATTCATTGTGGATTTTTACTTCATTCATTCACTGTGGATATATAGTTATGAAATTGTGGATATATAGTTATGAAATTGTGGTTATATAGTTATGAATTTCTGGATATATAAAAATGCTATTGCCGAGAATCGAACTTGATTTCTTCTTTTAAGTGGGACGCGCGTTTTTTTAACCAAAACGGCGCCGTTTTGCAACCGTATGCACCTTGCAAGGTGCATTCGGTTGCACAGCATAATTTGCGGTACTAATATTCCTGGGCTTTTTTTTTTTTTTTTAATATATACTTATACGGAGTATATATGAACACAATAAAAGGAGTAGATTTTTTTTTTTTTTTTAAAGTCAACTTGGCGGTTGTATTTATAGAAGAGTTAAAATAGAGTCTGGTGGGACATTGTCCCAGTACATAGCAGTAGCGAAACTAAGTGTTGTAGTAACTAAAGTATGAGCTAATAAATTCTGTAATCTAGGAATGTAAATTACTGAGCAGTAAGTAAAAATAGAAATATAGGTTCTGCAACTATCGATAGCATAACCTAGATATGAGCGTGATGTGGCTGGTGGTCCAGATAAATAGCACTGCAGTAGTTGACAATCCGTATGAATCTGTATAGATAATTCATTCCCCCTTTTAAGCCATGATAATACTTCCTTGCATGCAAAAGCCTCGGCCATGAGCGGGGAGTGGCAACCTATTAATGGGGCGCTGAAAGCAGATATGTAGCGGCCATTGGCGTCGAGGAGTACCGCACCAGCAGCTGCTGCATTGGTTCCTCGGTGATAGCTTGCGTCCATATAGCATTTGACGGGCGTCATCACCTCGCCATGCGTG